CCCCCCCCCCCCCCCTCCCCCCAGGCAGAGCGCTGACCCTCTCTGAAGGTTATTACTCTCTCCATGCATGAATAGCTGCTTTTGTTTGCCCTCGTTTCCCACGACCCGGCATTCGCCTGGCAGTCGCGTGGCTCTGGAACGCCCCCACCCTCCCACCCCACCAGCGTTGAGGTGGGGGTGAGGGGGTGGGAGAGGACATCTGGTCAGTCTGACATCTGTTAGTAACAAAGATCTAACATGAAAAAAAAAAACAGGGAATGTGATCAAACAAGGCTGCTGTGTGAGAGTGCAGCTGAACTTCCTGCTGCTGTTTTTCCTCCCACTGCTGATGGGCCACAGTGTTTTATTTTATTTATTTATTTTTTTTAATTTTCACAAACAACTTATGATGAAGCTCTCAGAAAATAAACACTGGGTGTATGTCTATAACTGATTAATTTATTGAGTCAATTTGATTTGAGATGACTCTCAACTGAGCTTCAAAATTAACAAATGTAACCGAAGCCGACACATGCTCTGATCGCTACCAGACTATCTGTGTGTCTGTTAGTAAAATATCTCATGAACCACTGGACAAGTTTGAATGAAACTTTCAGGAACTCTTGGATGTACCTCTTCAGCTGATCAACTTTTGAAACCAATCTAATTCAAGAGTGTTGCCACAACCAGCCATCCTCAGAAAACACACACAAAAAAACTGCTGTAATTTGGTCAGTTTCACTAATATTGTGGTAAGATTTGGTGAGGTAGTAGCTGAGAGTCATTAACAACACWTACTTAATGCACTATTCATTGCTTAAAACTTGGCATTAACTGTTTGTCCGTTAGCAAAATACACTCAAAAAACAGATACTGTATGTTGGTTTACTTTAACAAATTATTTCAACTGGTTCCACTCAACTGAAATTAGTAAATGTAAATACTTTTAAAGTAAATGTGAAAAAAAGTTACCTTACATTTACTTAATTAAGTTGAGTGGAACTAGTTGACATCATTTGTTTAAAGTGCCTGTGACATGCCTATCCTTCAAATACAAAAAGTCAAAGAAAACATCTTTATACTTAAGAAAATTGGCATAGTAGAGTTTTTTTTACCCATTTTGTCACAAAACTGTCTTATTTTCTTTTGAATTTGGCTCAGCCAAAGTGAAACAGGAAGTGACATCAAAGGGGAACTCATTAATAAAATAAACTCTGGTTTTTGTTTATTAAACAAATAATTTAAACTTTAACTCTTCTTCGTCCCTCTTTGATAGCGACTCAAATTAATCTAAAGAAACATCAGATTCTTCTCTACAGTCTGTGTTGTAACAATGGTTCACGTTCAGACATTCCCCTTTGACATCACTTCCTGTTTCTTCCACTGCAAATATCTCAACAACTCTTCATCTCAGTGGCATGAAATTTGTTTTGCAATATGTTATCAATGTTATCTTTCCAAAACTGCATTCATGTTTATTACAAAAATTTGATGTCACAGGCCCTTTAAGTAAACCAACACATCGTTCATGACCACAAAACTGATTTTAATGAAACTCTCAGGAAATAATCATTGGATGTGCATCAAGAAGTGATGAGCAAACACAGAAATTTGTATAATTTTGCAATTATGGGCACTATGTGTTCTTTTTATAAATATACAGTAAATAAAAAATATGATTTAATAGGTATAAATGTGCTTTGCTACCATAATAAAAACGTTAACTGATTGTGTGTTTTGTCATGTCTGTGTTTGACTCAGGTTTTCTTCAAGTAGAGTTCTGTTGCTCTCAGTGAATGAGCTGCGGGGGTCCCCGGGGTACAACATAGTTATTACCCATTTTTGTTCAGAACTACAAAAAGAAAAGGGAGGGGGACTGTTTTTTTCTCTGTTTATCTCCCTCCTTTTCCTGTCTGTCTGGAGGTGGAGGGGGGAGCAGTGCACGGTTTCAGGCTGGACATCTGTCGCCTGTGAGAGCCCTGGGTGTCCCCGGGTCCACTGAATGGAGCCAGTGACCCGTCAATCCTGACTGATGGGACCCCGTGTGTGGGAAAATCCTGCCGGCAAAGAGCTCGAGCTTTCACATGCTAATCGTGGCCCTATAAATAAGAGGGTCTCGGCGCGCGGAGGGCCCTAGAGACACGCTGAAGTTCGGAGGGAGCAGGAGCCCCAGAAGCGCCGCAGACATGACCGCCTCTGCATCCCAGCCCACTGCTAAAGAAGAGAGGAAGGTATTTCACTGTAGATTCAGATGGATGGTAGAGCAGGGAGCGTGTGTGTTTCACATCTTTTTGTTTGGTTTCCAGCTGAGGAAGCCGCTTATTGAGAGGAAACGACGGGAGAGGATCAACAACTGTTTGGATCAGCTGAAGGAAACGGTGATTGGAGCCTTCAGACTGGATGTGAGTACAGCAGCACATGTTCTGACCTCCTCTGCGGGCTGAGACCAGTTATCTGTAAGGATCCTCCTTTCTTCACAGCAATCCAAACTGGAGAAGGCAGATATTCTGGAGATGACAGTGAAACATCTGCAGAACATCCAGAACCATAAACTGAAAGGTAAGAAACGGAGTCTGGGTTTGTTCTGCTCAGGTTTGGAGTTAATTTAAGCAGCAGATGAACATTTTATGACTCCTGTTTTAGAAAAGGAGAATAAAAATGTTGAATTGTCCACATCAGACACCAGGGGGCAGCATCAGCACATCTGATGTTTGCTGCTGCTAAAATCAAAACAACAGTTGAGTTGCATTCACATGATGGGCTGAGAGAAATCTTTTCTTTTTCACAAATCTTATCATTTTGTTTTAAGGAATAAAACACAGAAAAAAACTTCTAAACTAGAGAAATTGCATAACATGGTGTTAATGCTGAGAGCTGAACGACTGCTGAAATGAGCTGAAGAAGCTGGAGTTTCAATCTAAAAGAAGCAGAATAACAGCTAAAAGTTAAAAGAAGCATAATGTTGGCTAAATGTCAAAAGCTGAAAAACACTAGACAAAACCTAAAAGCAGTAAAGGGTTAGTTAAAAGTTTAAATGTGGCAAAAGGCTAACTGCTAAAAGTATCAAAAAACTGGATAAAATCTGAAAGTAGCAAAAGTTTGGCTTAAAGCTGGAACTGGCAAAATCTAGCTAAAAGCTAAAGTAGCAATGGGTAGCTAAAAGTACCACTAGGCTAGCTAAATGCTAAAGTAGCTAAGGGGTAGCTAAATGTACCAAAAAGCTAACTAAAAGCTAAAAGCATCAAAATTGTGGCGAAAAGCTCATAATAACAAAAGGTTAGCTTAAAGCTAAAAGTTGCATAAGAAGATAAAAACACAGGGAGAGAACAATAATATTTTTAAAGGAATTTAAAAAATCTCAAATTATTTTCATTTGGAAAATATTTGTAAATGAAGTTAAATATTTAAAACATAAGTCACAGCAGTAATCTCCTGAATGAGCTCAATGTTTTGATGTGTGAAGAACAGATTTAGAAAATGAAAAACAGAAAACATTCTCACAAAAAAAAAGCACAAATATAGGTTTTGTTGCAACTACTGAGACTCAGACCTCCTCTCCATCTGATCCAGATCCAGGTGCAGGCCTGGAGGCGCAGCAGAGGTACAGCACCGGGTACATCCAGTGCATGCACGAGGTCCACAACATGCTCCTGACCTGCGACTGGATGGACAAAACCCTGAGCTCCCGTCTGCTCAACCACCTCCTGAAGTCCCTGCCCAGGTCCAGCGATGAGCTCACCCACCAGGACACCCCCCTCTCATCTGGCCAAGGCACCCTGGGCACACCCCACCTGGGTGGGAGGAAGCACCAGAGGGAGGGAGCCACCTGCCACAAGGCTGGGCTGCAGGAGAGACTCCACAGCTCCCACCCCCACCTGGGGGTGCTGGAGATGTGGAGACCCTGGTAGACCCCTGGATCTTGCTGTCCCTTTTGTTAGACCCTCTGTTATGTATCTTATAGATATGCTGCTCAGGAGACGTTCCAGTGATTCTTACTGTAGTTGTGCTCTAATGATTCTACACAAACCTTTTCTCTGTACTTCTCTTAGGAAGTCACCTTCTTGTAGCCTGCTTTTAGAAGGCTCTTATTAATCTTTTACCTATTTATTGTATTAACAACTTTATTTATTTCAGAATGTAAGACGTGACTTTGCTTCTTCAGCGGCCTGCTTGGTGTTGCATAGATTTCTGTCTTCCTTCTTTGCCTAATATTTAACCTAAACATTAATATTAATAAAGTTTATTACACAAATTATTGTTTTATCAGTTGTGTTTTGTCCTTTTTTTTGCAATCACGTGTAAAATTATTGATGAAAAGTATTTTTATTTTCATGCAAAACATCACAAGTTTCTCATGTTATTTGAGAAGTTTCACTTAAGTCTAAAGTAAATCTGGGTTTGTTTATTTTCATATAGAAAGATTAGGACATAAAGCTGCTCCTAGTGTGTGACATTTAACAACAGTTGAGGTACATCTAAACTTCCATCATGTCACCAAGCAAATATCCAACATGTGGATTTACACTTTTAATCAAAGTCATCAAATCAGCTTAAAATAAAGTACTGAAAACAAGCAAAGGTGACTAAAGTGCTGGAAAACTAACAAATCATGACTTCCACATGTTTATCAGTTGTAAATGTAGCTCTAATAATACCTTTTCTTAAAACCTCAGAACAGAGAAGACATTTTATTATAAATGGAAAACTGGTGCAAAGGTTTGGGGCCACTTCAGCCAAGACACATTTTATATTACTGATAAATCTAGAACATTAAGATGTGTACAAAAAGATCTGGGATTAAAAGAAGGACAGAGAAGAGGTGTCCAATCACATAAAACTTTAAAAACAAGCAGAATTCTTTGTATTTAACAGGAAGCAGGAAATAAGTTCTAGTCCTGGTATCAGTTAGGAGTCTGGCTGTTAACAGAGAGGATGGATTTAAGTTTAGAACTATTTCTTGAGATGTAAAAAAAACTTTTACCACATATTTACATTTTAAGTTCATAATGAATGAATGAATGAAAGAATTAAACTTTATTGATCCCATGAAGGGAAATTTCATTTCGAGAACAGGAGCCCACAGCCATGCAAGGCACAACCATTATCTGAAATCCTGCTTAAAAATTAATTCTTAAGGGTTCAAAGTGAGGTCGTAAGTTTTCACTTAATGCTGAGATGTTGTAATTTAAGGCTGTCTTTTTTTCATTGACTATTCAAAAACTGTCCAATTACAGAACACGTCAAGTGTAATCAGAATCTGGTTGTCAGAGTGGATGTTTATTTTTAGTTGATGGAGGAGTTAGAGGGAAAAGATTTGTCATTTCTGTTGTTAACTGAGGGGAAAGAGAACACGAAAGTACCAGAAGGCTAGACTTTGGTGTGGTATTATAGGTATTATGATGGCCGGCTGAGGTGCACTCACTCCCGGTCATCACAGCATGGAGAACTTGTGTTCACCTGAAAACACAGAATTGTCCATTCTCCTTCCATGATGACTGTTTTTTTTACTATTTTTCTATTTAACTTTTATTTGTTTTACTGGAACACATTAATGTTTGTCACAGCCTGTCTGCAGATGATGCTTTCAGAGTTCAACTCATTACAGCCACTTTACACAAACACATGCTGTATGCACCCACAGAATTCTGACCAATTACACAACGCTCACTTCATATAGTGCTGTGACAACTCTGACTGAAGCAATTTAATATGGGGTCTCAGCAGGGGGTAAGAGTGACAAACTGCACAATTTTCCTCACACACGTGGCTGACATGAAAATGGGCCTTCTCATTAACTATAAATCAGACTTAAAGACAACTATCTCAGACTTACTGTCATGTATCTGAAAAATATTAGTCATCCAGTATTTCATTTTTTTCTGTACAATTTAGGATTGAACATTTAGAGTCTATAGAAATCAAGGGCATATAAATCCACGTATCGTCTGCGTAACAGAGAACCAAATTCTTGTATTTGTGGACAATATGACCCAAAGAAAACAATGTAAAAAAGCTGGACTCAAGACATCTTTGAGGCACTCCACAATCAACTGAAGTTGTAGAGACAAATCAAGTTAAATAATGAAAGTTCTGTAAAACAAAATGTGTGAATTAACCCCAGGAGGACAGAGATCCTGCCTACTAACCTGGTTCCAGAGATGATTTAAACACAGTTAATCACACCCAATTAAATAACTGTTGCAATATTTATGTATGAATCTGAACATATTAGGAAGGAACAAATGAAGAAAGACAAATCAATTAAGTAAAATGAAACGATGAAGTAGGAAGGAACTTAAAGGGAGGAAAAAAGTATGAATAAAAAAGAAGAACGTCTCAGGATCTTGTATTTTGTTTAGTCTTTTAGTCCCTTGGGTTTCTTTTTTTACCATTCTTTTCATTTGATGTTCCCTGTGTTCTTTGATCCCTGTGTTTTTCTCATTTTGCCTCTGCACCAGCTCACATTCACCTGATCCTCACTTCTCTCCCCAGGTGTTTCTCACTGTCTTCTCATTATCCTTTCATTTTCTGGGTCTTTTCTCTTGTTCCCCGCCTGTCCATTGTGCTTCCTCCGGCTGTCATGTTTGCATCCCGTCGTTTTGTGTTCCTGAAACATTTCCCCTGGGAGTTTTGTTGTCAACTTGTTAATTTTGCTATTAAAGTCTTTTTTAGCTATAGTTAATCGAGTTTTTGTTTCTGCACCCAGGGTTCAAACTTTCAATAAACATGATGAAAGGAAGTCAGATTTGCTTGTAAATCATCAAAACACAATGTTGATCAAAAAGATATTGTGGCAAACAATAAATAATAAAGACTATGAAAACACACAAAAACATGCACAGACTGATTTGAGGATGATATTGTTATTTTAGGCAAGTTTTAAAGATTGGCTCACCTGACCTCAGTGACCTTTTAAGTGGGTGCAAAGTTAAATGTGGTCAGGACCCCACTGTGGGTCAACAAACACCCACTGGGGGTCTTGAGAAAATCTTATGATATGCACTTAAATTTAAAATTGATCGTTCAGCTTGGTTTTCCATACATTTTACCACAGATTGAAATAAATATTTACTTGTCGATGTGCAATGTGCAACCTTAGCTCTTGTTTAAAAGAAATGTTTAAATATTTCGAACAAAAAGTAAGACAATTTGCGTTTGGTAGATTATTTCCTTATTGTTACAATGCTTTAAAAGCCTGTTGATTTCCCTTTGAAATGGTGCCACATTTGTAAGGAACATGCATTTGTGGGATGAGCGGGTTGTTGTAAATGAAAAATTTGCCAAATCGTCTCTGCCAAACAGCTTATTTTGCACTTGTTTTGAACTTCTGGTACAACACCAGGTGCTGTTAGAGCTACAAGTTATTACCAAGAATCATTGTTACAATAAATAATCTACGGAACACAAATGTTCTTACATTTTGTGCTAAGTTTTACAATCGCTAGATCACAAGTGTTTTTCATTAGGTTTGTGGACCACATGTGAGTTGTTTACATTTAGACTACGGTCTAAATCAGTGTTTCCCAAAGTTGGGGTCGGGACCCAAAGTGGGGTCCCGAAACATCAAGGTGGGGTCCTGAAAAGATTTTCTGAATGAATTACATTTTTGCCTTAGTTGTTACAAAGGAGTGAGGTATGTATTTATAATGGATAAATGTGTATAAAAATATTGTTACAATGCCCATGTTTAGTTGACCTGATACAAATGTTTATCATCCAAAAATAGTTGGGGCCACAGGTCTCTGCTACTGTTATTTTGTGGGTCAAAGGCTGAAAAGTTTGGAACCACTGCACTTTGGTTCCCAAAGTTGGACTTGGGACCCAATTATGGGTCATGAAGCACCTTGGATAATCTCCAGAAATCAATTTAAAGGATAATAAAATAATTGCTGATGTAATAGTTTCCCCTATAATTATTACAAAAACACAAAATAAGTAAAAATAAGTATTTATATTTGTGTACAAGCTGATTAGATTGTCAAAAAGCCTGTGTTTTTAGGGTTATTAACGACGTTTGTGTACTCAGACCAGTAATATTTGGGGTCACAAGTTTTTGCCATGGATATTTTGTGGGTCAGAAGATAAAAAGTTTGGGAACCACTGGTCTAAATTATTCATTTTTGGCTTCCCGCTCTTGTTTCCGTTCTGGCTGGGCCCCCGCATGGAGCCAGGCGGCGGGTTTGGAGACAGAAGGACAGAGAGAGGGGGATGCCTGCTCCCTGAGCGGAGCTCTCCAACAAAGGCGAGCCGAGAGACAGCTGCTCTCTGCGCTGTCCAGGGCAGCAATGTGAGGGTGGCGAGGTGCCAAAAAAAACAAAACAAAAAAAAACCTCCACTTCAAAGGTCTGCGGCGCTTCCTTGGTTTGGGGAGGTTTGGGTTTACTGCGCACCACGTCTCACCGCGCGTAAAAGCAGTTTTACCTGAAGGCTTTGCAGAGATGCTCGCCGGGACTTCTCCCAGCAGACAGATCTACTTTATTGTGCGGATGATTAGCATGATAATACTGTGTACAGAACGTGTATAATAAGGAGGGCAGAGGGTTGAGGGCTCTCAATAGACAAAAACAAATAGACTGTGCGTAAAAGGACGATCCATGCGCAAAGGCGCACATCACATGTTTTTTAAAAAACAACCACGACAAAAGCTCATATTTGTCATGTTTCCTTAGAAGACATGACTGTAGGAAGAGAAGCATCTCTCACGCAGCGGGGGCAGTGAGAACGCTGCTGCACACAACAAGTCACCAAACAACGGAGAGAACAAACGAGGCGCAGCCCAACACCTGTCTCTTTCTTTGGAGAAGGGCCCTTAATTCCCTCGGCTGATTCAGTTTGGGCCGAGGGGCAGCGAGGAGCAGCTGCCAACTGAAGGCGTCGAGTTACATCCGCCCAACAGCCGGCTCGATCTGCCGAGGCTCGGACACTGCAGTCTGCACAAACACTGAGGTGGTCGGGCGGGGTGGGAGGCGGGATTAGACTGAATACAGATGCTTCATTACAGCAACAGTCCAGTAAAAACAAAAACAAAAAAAACAATAATTCACAGTTTTCATTTAATCCTACTACATATTTGTATGAAAATCAGAGTAAAAAATAATTCAACTTTCATCTTTGAAGCCCAACAGAAATTTGTAGATTATTTTAGTAACAAAAGCAGAAAAAAATGCTGATGTTTTAATAAGAAGTGTAAAAATCAAATTAATATTAAAGCTAGTGCCAGTGGCTCATTAGTGTCACCTGGTAACCTCACATCTTTGTTGATCACTTCCTGGCAGACAGAAAGCCAGAGCAGAAATTAGCTGCAGTCGGCTGCTGTTCAGAATAAGTTGTTTTAATACTTCTTAATAAGTTGTGACGAGTGTCTGAATTTAATTTTTTTGTTGTTTTTATTTTGTGCATCTGCAGAATTTTAATTAAGAGTAATAACAAACACTTACTGTGATGTGAAGACAGTTCAAGAAAATCATAAAGAAAGCAAATGTGTACAAATTGTCTTATTTTGGTAGTTAATGAATCCTTAAACAAAACAAAACCAAAAAATAAAATAAAAATAAGCAAAAATTGTTACCAGATGCAAACACTGGGTGTTTAGCTCACTGAAAAAATGAAGTGACTGAAAACAGGCTAACAATGATGATGTCTATATGCAGGGGGGTCAAACTCAGGGGCCAAAAATCAAAACTTGGTCCAAGTCAACAGTCAATTTCTGTCAATATTTGTAGAAGAAATTTAATATAATAAATTAATCTTAAATACAAACAAATGACTTTTTCCAATCTGTTTAATGTATCAATTTGACCATAACCTAATAATAACAAAAAGATTACATTTAAAAATGCATTGTTAGCATTCATGTGCCTTATAATCTCTGACAATGATTTTTGAGTTCTGAGCTTTATTTAAGCTATTTTAACCTTTCCACAAGTCAAAAAACACCTAAAACAAGACAGAATTAAAACAGAAAATAGAAAATAAACGATCTTTAAATTCCTGTCAATACCAAGAATACAAGGTAAAGACTGAAAAAAGTTTATTCATTAATTTATCATATCTAAAATATATTTCATCGCAGTCCAGCAAATCAGGTATAAAAACAAACACAAAAAAGTTTAATTATTTGACTTGACTTGGAAGTTATCTGTCAAGAAGAATGCACCAAATACAGAGACTATAAGAAAAACTATAAAACTGTTAAAGTATTACCTTCAGGGCCAGATAATATGTTAACGAGGGCCAGATTTGGCCCACGGGCCTTGGGTTTGACAATGGTTACGTTGCCTTGGGTTTATTTTTCAGCACCAGATGCATTCTTATAGTTCCACCTTAACATCTTTTGTGAGCTTCTACATTTGTCCAGTTCTGCCTCGTGTTTACAGACTGATCTGTAGGTCAATCACGACTCGTTTCACTTTGAGCATTTGAAAACAACAATACATCTGAAAACGTACCAGAATAAATCATTTCAAATTACAACACTTCATATATTCCAGGGGAAACATGTTTTGTTCTATTTATAGTTTGCAAAGAGTGCCTTTAAACAATCCTTCAGATCAGGTTTTAATGAGAAAATTCCAAGTTCAGATGTAATGGAAATAATGAGTCTGTTTTATAGCAGTGATACACATCAGAACACAAAAATACCACTGTTCTTGTGTAGAAACTGTGTGAAAAATGTAACAATTGTGGGAATAAAAAGATTTAGTTTGGATTAAAATCAAAAAGATGAAAAGTTAAACATTCTGAGATAAAAAAAAATCATAAAAATAAAACTCTGCTTTTGTGTTACAGTTCCAAAAGAGGAGTCTGGGTCACTAAATCCCACTGTCGCTGTGGGTTTATGCATTTACTGTGTCTCCATTATCTGATGTTTTTTTTCTCCTGCAGCTGAATGTTTGGAGGGAAGAGAAAATCCGTGCAGTCGAGCCCAGAAACCAACACATTGTGGTAAAAGCAGGTCCAGCTCCTGACCACAGACAAAGGAGCCTGGCTCTCATTGGCTCGGGCCCCTGTGCGCTCTGTTGGCCCCCAGCGCGAGCCGCTCAGCCCCCATTCACATGTTAATGAGCCGCTATAAATACCAACAACTGCCTCTGAGCGCCAGCACCACTCTCCCTGGGATTACACAGTAAACACAGTCGGCAGATTATTGTTTTTTTTTTTTTTTYTTTTTCCTTACGGTCCGGGACCGGTTCCGTTCGCCAGCTGCCCCTCCCGGAGAAGCCCCAGGACGCAGCAACATGGCCCCCTCTGTTCGGCCCAGAGACGCCGGACTCTGCTTGGAGGAGGACGAGTCCCGCTGCGGGATCCAGAAAGCGGACCGGAAGGTGATGGAGGGATGGGGGGACCCTCTGTGCACGCGCAGAGACGCAGTTGCGGAGTTTGATGGGGAAATGAGTCAGCGCGCGCTCAGTGTGTATAAGGTGTGTGTTCTCTCGCTCCGTGTGTGTGTGTGTGTGTGTGTGTGTGTGTGTGTGTGTGTGTGTGTGTGTGTGTGTGTGTGTGTGTGTGTGTGTGTG